AAGTTCCCCCTCTTCCTCATCTAGCACACTCTGTCTCGCTTCCAGCAGCTGTAAAAACAACCAATCAAGACAATCAGTATTGCGTATGGACACAACACATCTTTTAATGCACCTGAAAAATAGTCCCTCTTTCTTCTCGATCGACTCCGAGCTGAACTCTTCACAGCTTCCGCCTGCGGTGCAAGGTCTGGTTGTTTGTACCTGAAGCTCCTGCGTACTGTCTCGTAATAGGTCTTACAGGCAGCTGTAAAACAATTAAATGAGAGTGGTATGAATAAAAAAAACCAAGTCACAGTAAAATTAAACAAGGAAGGAGAAAACAGTAAAAGTTACATACACACAGTGTCGTCATTGTCAGCATCATGTAAATCTGGACTTGCAGACATAGCTCCGAGCAAATAGGAGGTCACAGCCTCGTTATGAGGCGAGGTTAGTCTGTGAAAACAAAATGTACAGTTAAGACCGGTATCTATTAACGTATCTATTTCCTTATAGAGCAGAATGAAAGCATATTCTTTCAATCTTACCCTTGCTCCGGTTCGTAGCTCCGACAATTTGTCTCCAAGTTGTGAAGACGGCGTACTGCTTCCTGTAAATTACAAGACAAGAAAAATACACTTTTATAAAGCAACATACACTGGTTCTGCACCCGTCTCCTCTTTTTAGAGTCTCCCGCACAGTTTTTCGACTCCAAAGCAGCCAACCTATCCTCCATGGACAGCAACCTGGAGTTTACTGAACTGCTGAGTTGAGTGAACTGCTCATTCACATCGGCAGCAAACAGAGACAGCCCATTGATAGCATTCAGCAGTTTCTTCTAATTGTTGAAATCAATTGTTTTGTTGTAGTAACTCACGGGAGGCTTCTTACGAACACATTGTATATCACGATCACATCATCTCTCACAGTAAACAGGACTCAATTCTTCTTTCCATCTATTGCATTCCCAACAACAACTTACTCATCGCCCCCTAGTGGACCTGAGGACAATATATATATTTCTCTCAATTCTTCACAGTTACTACATTTGTGTATCTTGTTTACATAACATTTGCCATCGCTAATGACATACACAGTAATTAATATAGCATACTTTCATTAAATAAATAAATTCAAGCTAAAATGTAAGAGTCTATAATTAGGCTATCCTGAGCCTGATCTATTCCAGAGATTTTCTTACCTTTTAGAAAAATGTCACCTGGGCTAAAACTCGCCCTGCTACCCTGATTTGCATTTGTATAGCTCACAGCATTTTCATTTACATGTTAAAGCCTCCCCTAGAATTAGGGGGAGGGGGATCATGGGGGTGACAACTGCCAAGCAAGGCCCACGTCAATTTCCGACAATTCACGGCATTTTTCCGCGTTGCCTGCAAATTGCCGTACGCAGTCGTAAACCTGAAGTTCCACGACAATCTACAGTGCCGCTTACTGACGAAAATCCCACTTTTCACGCAGTGACACTGTGTACAGTCGGTGTATTCAGTCACTGGCAGGTTCTGTCTCAGTGTGTTGTGGGTGCAGTGCAGAACTGATCCTGTTTTTCTATCAGGAGGAAAAAACCTGAACCCAGCTGTGTGTCCATGAAGAGTGATCGCTCTAAGGATCATCCTATATACTTCAAAGATGGCCACCACTCTGTTGATCAAAGGTGAGGATTTCAAACTGATGGTAAAATAAAATGATGTGTTTTTATCAGGCTCTCAGTTGTGAAATCTCCAGTTTTTCAACCTTTACTGACTCAGATGAAGTTCTCTGAGCACCAACACTCTTTCAGCAGCAGCTGCCTCACAGTCACACAGTCAAACACATTCACACTGGGAGCTGCCCAGTACAACCAGTCTGATACAAGCAGACACTGAGCAGCTCCACTGGAGCAGCTGGAGGCTCTAGGTGCCTTGCTCCAGGGCACTTCAGCAGTGTACAGTGAGGGAGGGAGAGCTATATGGAGGGGTTGGTGAGAGCTGTTGGGACTGAACCAAACTGAGCTGTTGATTCTTAGTGGGATCAGCAGGACTAGTAAACCTTTACCACTACAGGGAGTCATCAGATTCACTGTTCACATCCAAATATCACTTCATGGACCTTTACCTTGTGTTTGTCTCTGTGTGGACAGACATAATGTGAGCTCATTCTTCATGATTCCTCCACAGAGTGGACCAGGAGAGCTCAGAGGTTCCCAGTGGTCAGTCTGCCCAGCAGCATCAAACACACCTGGACTCCATATTTATGGTCTGTACATGGACAAGATCTACTTTTACATCTATTGTGTTCACAATAATCTCCATGCTGCACTTTTTAGACCAGTGGATTGTCAGTCTGTCCAACATGGATCTGATGTTTGCTTCCATGATTTGACTTTGGTTGAGTCATTCATATAATATTCTGTTCCAGCTGCTGGAGGACAACATTGTCACTTTTGTGAAGAACGAGCTGAAGAAGATCCAGAAGGTTCTGAGTTCAGATTACCCAGAATGCTCAGAGAGTCAGAGGGAGGATGAGAAGGTGTTGGATGGTGAGGATGAAGAGCAGAGGAGGAGCAGCAGAGAGGCATTACTGAAGATCACAGTGCACTTCCTGAGGAGAATGAAGCAGGAAGCGCTGGCTGGCTGTCTACAGAGCAGTAAGAGGATTTTAACAGATTGAACATGATGGAAAGAGGAAATGGAGGCAAAATGGGAAAAGTTTACTTTTAAAACTGCTGATAATATGATGCACACATTGTATCAGATCTATGAATTCTTCTGGACTGAAAACAGAAACTGTTTACTACTGATGAGCTGAAGAGATTTAATGGAGGAGGAAAATAAATACCATCTTGATGTCTTAAAGTTTACATCCATCAGATTTATTGGAGCTTCTACTTATTAACTACATTTCTTCTTTCTTCATTCAGGAACTGTTGCTGCAGCGTGCCGACGTGAACTTAAATCCAACCTGAAGAAGAAGTTCCAGTGTGTGTTTGAGGGGATTGCTAAAGCAGGAAACCCAACCCTTCTGAACCAGATCTACACAGAGCTCTACATCACAGAGGGAGGGACTGCAGAGGTCAATGATGAACATGAGGTCAGACAGATTGAAACAGCATCCAGGAAACCAGACAGACCAGAAACAACAATCAGACAAGAAGACTTCTTTAAACCCTCACCTGGAAGAGATGAACCAATCAGAACAGTGATGACAAAGGGAGTGGCTGGCATTGGGAAAACAGTCTTAACACAGAAGTTCACTCTGGACTGGGCTGAAGAAAAAGCCAACCAGGACATACAGTTCACATTTCCATTCACTTTCAGAGAGCTGAATGTGCTGAAAGAGAAAAAGTACAGCTTGGTGGAACTTGTTCATCACTTCTTTACTGAAACCAAAGAAGCAGGAATCTGCGGGTTTGAAGAGTTCCAGGTTGTGTTCATCTTTGACGGTCTGGATGAGTGTCGACTTCCTCTGGACTTCCACAACACTGAGATCCTGACTGATGTTACAGAGTCCACCTCAGTGGGTGTGCTGCTGACAAACCTCATCAGGGGGAAACTGCTTCCCTCTGCTCGCCTCTGGATAACCACACGACCTGCAGCAGCCAATCAAATCCCTCCTGAGTGTGTTGACATTGTGACAGAGGTCAGAGGGTTCACTGACCCACAGAAGGAGGAGTACTTCAGGAAGAGGTTCAGAGATCAGGAGCAGGCCAGCATAATCATCTCCCACATCAAGACATCACGAAGCGTCCACATCATGTGCCACATCCCAGTCTTCTGCTGGATCAGTGCTACAGTTCTGGAGGATGTGTTGAAGACCAGAGAGGGAGGAGAGCTGCCCAAGACCCTGACTGAGATGTTCATCCACTTCTTGGTGGTTCAGTGCAAAGTGAAGACCATCAAGTATGATGGAGGAGCTGAGACAGATCCACACTGGAATAAAAACAGCAAGAAGATGATTGAGTCTCTGGGAAAACTGGCTTTTGAGCAGCTGCAGAAAGGCAACCTGATCTTCTATGAATCAGACCTGACAGAGTGTGGCATCGATATCAGAGCAGCCTCAGTGTACTCAGGAGTGTTCACACAGATCTTTAAAGAGGAGAGTGGACTGTACCAGGACAAGGTCTTCTGCTTCGTCCATCTGAGTGTTCAGGAGTTTCTGGCTGCTCTTCATGTCCATCTGACATTCATCAACTCTGGAGTCAATCTGCTGGCAGAACAACAAACAACATCCCGGTTTTCTAAAGTCTTCCAAGACAAACCTAAACTGAAATATCTCCACCAGAGTGCTGTGGACAAGGCCTTAGAGAGTCAACAAGGACATCTGGACTTGTTCCTCCGCTTCCTCCTGGGCCTTTCACTGCCGACCAATCAGAATCTCCTACGAGGTCTGCTGACACAGAAAGGAAGTAGTTCACAGACCAATCAGCAAACAGTTGAGTACATAAAGAAGAAGATCAGTGAGAATCTCTCTGCAGAGAGAAGCATCAATCTGTTCCACTGTCTGAATGAACTGAATGATCGTTCTCTAGTGGAGGAGATCCAACAGTCCCTGAGTTCAGGAAGTCTCTCCACAGATAAACTGTCTCCTGCTCAGTGGTCAGCTCTGGTCTTCATCTTACTGTCATCAGAAAAAGATCTGGACGTGTTTGACCTGAAGAAATACTCTGCTTCAGAGGAGGCTCTTGTGAGGCTGCTGCCAGTGGTCAAAGCCTCCAACAAAGCTCTGTAAGTACAGAAATAGTTGGATTTCTGTATTGTCACTTAAATACTCTGCTATCTTTTCGAGATTATAAAGACATTATATATCACCAACATTGGGAACTCCTCACTAGCTGATATCATTTACAGAACTAATTTAAAGTGTTTTTGGTTTTGGCTGAGTGATAAAGTGCTGGTCACAAATGTTATTTTTCTTATTGTTGATCATTGTCTCTACAGACTGAGTGGCTGCAACCTCTCAGAGAGAAGCTGTGAAGCTCTGTCCTCAGTTCTCAGCTCCCAGTCCTCTAGTCTAAGAGAGCTGGACCTGAGTAACAACAACCTGCAGGATTCAGGACTGAAGCTGCTTTCTGTTGGACTGAAGAGTCCACACTGTAAACTGGAAACTCTCAGGTCAGAATTTGTCAACCTGTTCAACTGATAACCACTTTAAACCTGAAGTATGTTGAGGGATACAATTGTAATCTTCCTAACATTGTTTTGTTTATTTAGTTTGAGTCTCTTTCCTTGAACATGTTTATTATGTAATGTGTTGTTCTTTGTGTTTGCAGGCTGTCAGGCTGTCTGATCACAGAGGAAGGTTGTGCTTCTCTGGCCTCAGCTCTGAGGTCCAACCCCTCCCATCTGAGAGAGCTGGACCTGAGTAACAACAACCTGCAGGATTCAGGACTGAAGCGGCTTTCTGTTGGACTGAAGAGTCCACACTGTAAACTGGAAACTCTCAGGTCAGGATTCGCCAACCTGTTCAACTGATAACCACTTTAAACCTGAATTATGTTGATGGATACAATTGTAATCTTCCTAACATTGTTTTGTTTATTTAGTTTGAGTCTCTTTCCTAGAACATGTTTATTATGTAATGTGTTTGTAGCACCCCAACACTCAGTAAATGCTTAAGTTAAAGCAACTCAACTTGGACTTAAATGATGGGGTGTTGGGGTTCGATTTATTAAGGTAACTACCACGAAGGTGTATCTGCTTTGTGTGAAACTTTTTATGGCCTAATACTTTATGAACAACCAGTCCCTCCAGAAAAACGCGATTATGCGATCACATAATTCAATGCATAATCAGCCAAACGTCCGCATATTTATGCGGGGGCCGCATTTCTTCAAATACGCCGCACTTTCACTGCATAAATTGCAGATTTCCGCGCAAAATATGCGGGGCTTGCATGATTTCATAATCCCTGCATTTTCGTTGCAAAAAAGTCACATATATCTTAGCAGACAGTTGAAAAATGTTGCGTTTACTTCACGCAAGAGCAGCCATTTTCCCCTGTTGCCATGGGAACGTTATGAAGTGACATAATTACGCGACATGAACATCATCGAAAAGCTGCAAACCCCGCGATGAAGCCATGATGAAGCCTGAAAATCAGTCTCATTTGCCAACAAAAATACAGTTGTAAGATTGCACTTTTTTGTTACCAGTGGGTTAAATCAAACTAGTTTCAAAAACCTTACAGTTGTAAGTATATTAGTAGTATGTAAATTTACGTTACAGTAAGAGATTGCACTTTGTGCATTGGAAGCACTTATTTTAACAGAAGATGTCTGTTTTGTATAGCTACCTCTGTAAAACAGGAAGCACACATTTTAGTTTGTTATATTTAATTTATTAATTTTTACAGAACTTGTAGCATATTCCTTTTGTAAAGCTCCAGAACTTGTTTGACTCATCAATGTTTTGTAAGTTTGAGCCATGTGTTTATTAAGGTCTGAAATAAAACAAGATGAGAACTTAAATATTCCAAGCACTTTCTGTGATGTAGTATGCTTGCTTATCATAGAAAGTAATAAGAAATTACTCTTTACATTAAGGTAGTTGCCTAGTGAGAACAGGTTGTTGGGGGAATCACTTTTTCTTCTCTTTTTCATCGGACCGCAGTTTTTTCAAGTTCCCGCAATTTCATCGCATAAAATTGCATAAATATCATATTCCATCGCATTTTTTAAGAAAACGTGCCGCATAATGAAGGATTTTTGACCGCAACAATCACAAAAAAACTCTGCATTCTTCTGGAAGGACTGAATAACCAACAACTTTGTTAGACTAAGCAGTGGCTCTATTCACACGTACTCTACACTATTTTAAATAACTGACCCCAGACAACTCTTTCAAATAAATGAAATAATAGTTAACTAACCAGTTGTTTTCCAGTTTAACACAAATAATATTTACTTTGTTAGTTAACAGATATTTAAAATGAAATAACACAATTACTCAAATTGGACTTCTTTAAAATAAAAATATTACAGTTGTAAACAAAATACCCTTTACCAAAATTGGTAAAACACTGTAGAAAAATAGACACTCATAATAAGCAAAATAGAATTGGCAATATCAAAATACTATTCAAAATTCAAATAATTCCAGGTCTCCGGTAAAATTCCTAGTTCTTACCCCTTAATACGATTTCTCTATGCTTATCAAACTCAGATCAAATATGCTACTTAACTGAACTCTAAACAAAACAGCGGGCCCACACACACACACACGCACACACACACATACACACACACACACACGCACACAAAAACAAAAAAAGGCCTGTGTGTTGCTCGGTGCGGTGCGGCCGACAAATCCTTATCCTCAGTGACAATTAACAGTCACCACAAAGAAAATCCAACTCACGGTCTGGAATAAGTCCTGGAGAAACACTTAATGAAGAGATGAAGATGAAAGCCAACGGCAGCAGAAGTAAAGTCCTCCTCAGGAAGCGTGAAACAGTCCTTCCCGTTCAGCAATGGCGTCCTCTTGGCTCGATTCTCCCGCCCCTTTTTAACTCACTCCCTTACCTACGGCCAATTACCAACAGGTGACATTGAGTGATAACTACAGCAACCAATCAAATGAAACAGCATGAACCAATGACACAAATCTGAAAATTCATGTTTAGTTTACCACACACTTTTCTTCAGCTACTATACAGAACAGTTTAATGTAACTACTTAATTAACTATTTACACTCTACTTTATTTATTATGAATTTATGTTAATCTATCGGTTAACATTTTATCTTTCACTGCTTTTAACCTAAATTACTTTCAGTTTATTTGCATTACTGAATTATTTAATTAATTCACTGAAATAATTATTTGTATTACAAATTAACTTGTTTTAACTCCTGTACTTTTACACCAGACTACATGTTGTTCTGTGTGTTTGCAGGCTGTCAGGCTGTCTGATCACAAAGGAAGGTTGTGCTTCTCTGGTCTCAGCTCTGAGCTCCAACCCCTCCCATCTGAGAGAGCTGGACCTGAGTAACAACAACCTGCAGGATTCAGGACTGAAGCTGCTTTCTGTTGGACTGAAGAGTCCACACTGTAAACTGGAAACTCTCAGGTCAGGATTCGCCAACCTGTTCAACTGCTAACCACTTTAAAGCTGAATTATGTTGATGGATACAATTGTAATCTTCCTAACATTATTTTGTTTATTTAGTTTGAGTCTCTTTCCTTGAACATGTTTATTATGTAATGTGTTTGTAGCACCCCAACACTCAGTAAATAATTAAGTTAAAGCAACTCACCCTGGACTTGAATGATGGGGTGTTTGGGTTCGATTTATTAAGGTAGCTACCACGAAGGTTTACCTGTTTTGTGTGAAACTTGTTATGGCCTAATACTTTATGAATAACCAACAACTTTGTTAGACTAAGCAGTGGCTCTATTCACACGTACTCTACACTATTTTAGATAACTGACCCCAGACAACTCTTTCAAATAAATGAAATAATAGTTAACTAACCAGTTGTTGTCCAGTTTAACACAAATAATATTTACTTTGTTAGTTAACAGATAAACAAAAATGAAATGACACAATTACTCAAATTGGACTTCTTTAAAATGAAAATATTATAGTTGTAAACAAAATGACCTTTACCAAAATTGGCAAAACACTGTAGAAAAATAGACACTTATAATAAGCAAAATAGAATTGGCAATATCAAAATACTATTCAAAATTCAAATAATTCCAGGTCTCCCCCTTAATACGATTTCTCTGCACTTATCAAACTCTGATCAAATATGCTACTTAACTGAACTCTAAACAAAACAGTGGGTCCACACACACTCACACGTACGCACACTCACACGTACGCACACAAAAAAACAAAAAAGGCCTGTGTGTTGCTCGGTGCGGTGCAGCAGGCAAATCCTTATCCTCAGTGACAATTAACAGTCACAAAGAAAATCCAACTCACAGTCTGGAATAATTCCTGGAGAAACAGTTAATGAAGAGATGAAGATGAAAGCCAACGGCAGCAGAAGTAAAGTCCTCCTCAGGAAGCACGAAACAGTCCTTCCGTTCAGCAATGGCGTCCTCTTGGCTCGATTCTCCCGCCCCTTTTTTGTTCACTCCCTTACCTACGGCCAATTACCAACAGGTGACATTGAGTGATACCTACAGCAACCAATCAAATGAAACAGCATGAACCAATGACACAAATCTGAAAATTCATGTTTAGTTTACCACACACTTTTCTTCAGCTACTATACAGAACAGTTTAATGTAACTACTTAATGAACTATTTACACTCTATTTATTATGAATTTATGTTAATCTATCGGTTAACATTTCATCTTTCACTGCTTTTAACCTAAATTGCTCTCAGTTTATTTGCAATACTGAATTATTTATTTAATTCACTGAAACAATTATTTGTATTACAAATTAACTTGTTTTAACCCCTGTACTTTTACACTGGACTACATGTTGTTCTGTGTGTTTGCAGGCTGTCAGGCTGTCTGATCACAGAGGAAGGTTGTGCTTCTCTGGTCTCAGCTCTGAGCTCCAACCCCTCCCATCTGAGAGAGCTGGACCTGAGCTACAATCATCCAGGAGACTCAGCAACAAAGCTGTCTGCTGCACTGGAGGATCCACACTGGAGACTGGACACTCTCAGGTATGAGGCTGATCAATACAGTAGTAGTAGTCAAGGAAAGGTGATGAAATTTCTGTTTTTCTGGACTGATGTCTTGTTTCGACATTGGAAAATAGGACAGTGGTTTATCCTGATGGGTTGGTGATATCATAAATAGTTTGGGATATTTTGATGGATGTCATCTGCCATCAGCGTGTGTTACCTTTTAGTCCAGAAAAACTAAAGGCGACACCTAAACTACAATTCAGTTCAGTTCAGTTCAGTTTTATTTGTATGTCACCAATTCATAACAGAAGTTATCTCAGGACAGTTTTCAAATAGAGCAGGTCTAGACCGAACTCCTTATAACATTATTTACAGAGACCCAACAGTTCCCACCATGAGCAAGACCTTGGAGACAGCGGCAAGGAAAAACTTCCTTTTCTGCCCTGAAGAAGAGAGAGAGAGAGAGAGAGAGAGAGAGAGAGACTAGAAATAACTGATGATGATGAACATGAAGATGATGACAACAACAATGGACAATAATAATAGTAACTATAATAATTTAAGAATATATATTATAAGATTAGAATGATGATAATAATAATAATAATAATAATAATATCAGTAATTTTGAGGTTCCACCAGGATCGATGAGAACCTGCGAGACGAGAAAGCACAAGAACTCCGGGGAAGAAGTGAAGTTAGTAACATGCATTAATGGAACATGAATGAGTGCAGAAAGAGAGAGAGAGGAAGAGAGGAGCTCAGTGCATCATGGGAAATCCCCCGATAGTCTAGGCCTATAGCATCATAACTAAGGGATGGTTCAGGACTCACCTGATCCAGCCCTAACTATAAGCTTTATCAAAGAGGAACGTCTTAAGCCTACTCTTAAATGTGGAGAGGGTGTCTGCCTCCAGAACCACAACTGGAAGCTGGTTCCACAGGAGAGGAGCTTGGTAACTGAAGGCTCTGGCTCCTGTTCTACTTTTTAGAGACTATAGGAACCACAAGTAGCCCAGCATTCAGAGAACGTAGTGTTCTAGAGGGGTAATAGGGTACTATGAGCTCTTTAAGATATGAAGGGGCCTGACCATGAAGAGCTTTGTAGGTGAGGAGGAGGATTTTAAATTCTATTCTAAATTACTACTGATGTGAGATCAGTTGTGTTTAATGCAGGGAAATGTATATTTGCTATGTTTTTTAGAAGATATTGAGTTTTCCTGTGTTCTGAGCAGTCCTTGAACACCTCCTGCCGTATGTTTTGTTGTTTATTTGAGTATTCAGGTGTCAACCTGTCATTGTCCAATCAGGGTCTATTAGAGATGAGTATGAAGAAACCTACCGGATTCTGAGAGGATTAAAAAGAGAAACGGAGACGTAAAAGAGAGATAGAGAGACGCTCATCCGCTACGCCTGGTTCTGCTCCATCATACATTTTATCCCGCTCCACTCACCACTCCGCTCAAAAAAACAAAACGACTTCAACAATGTCGCCTTTTTCTTGTTCCACATTATCCCCATCTGTTACTTTTACAGGAATAGCACACTTGTACGACTTCTCAGTTTCTTTTCTGAAGTACACATTAAACTCCATAGTTTTGAAAGAAAATAGTGTGGGTGTGCGCGTGCAGGTGCAAAGACTGGAGCGACCTTTAAAAAAATTGCCGCTCAACACAAAATCCTTCTGCTCCCCGCTCCGCTCATATGCTCTGACAGGGACTAACGTTAGTTTCACAACTTTGATCATCCGCCACTGGACAGAGGTTGTGAACTAAACAAACAACGTTGCTATCCAGTGTGCGTGTAATCAAAAAGGATGGAGATGGAGAGTGTTATTTTGATCGTGTGTTCTTTGCGTAATGGATGTGGAGAACTGTTCAATAACGTTTAAATAGTCAGAGATTATTTCCTTGTGGTTTGCGTAAAAGGATTTTGGAGCTAATAGAGTCGCGTGTGACATAAACGTAGATAGTGCAGTGACTCAGGTTCATGCCAGCTGAACAAATCTATTGCATTGTTATAGCGTTATTGTGAAGTTTAATTAATAGCGCATATATTCATCTGAGAACTGATGATGTCTGTGTGTTACAGACCCTGGCTGTGTGCACTGAAGTGTATATGACAATAAAGTAGTGAATCTCAATCTATTTATTTATTTTTAAAATGTATTTTAAATAGGCCTATAGGCTCATAGGTTTTTTGTCCAAAAATACCAAACAATTTTTTCACAGCACCCCCTGTTCAAAATGACTTCCAGCGGCCCTGGGGTACAAATTAGAGTTAGATTAGAGTAGCAAAATTCAACTGCTCTTAACTCATCCTATAGAATAACATTTATCAGTCATCAGCTCATCATCTGTGTCACCTGTATTGTTACCTGTGTTTGCTTTACTAATTGAGGCGCCATCTTGTGGTTACATAAAAACACAGCAATCCAGGCAACAGAACAGAAAAACTAAAGGCGTCACCTAAACAACAATTCAGTTCAATGTCACCAATTCATAACAGAAGTAACTACTGCACTCAGGTTCAACTCAAGGAGTGAGTAAATGTAAATAATAATAATGTAAAAAGGTAAACACAATTTCACAATCAACAAAAAGTAGAATCACAGTTCAGATTCATTCCAATATATAAAAGAAATAAAAGAACTGAAAGTGAAAGTGTTTCTTTACAGCTTATTGCTGTCTGATATCAATGTTGGTCAAAGTCCAGTCCAAAAGCTTAGTGTGTATCCATGTCCGTCCAAGTGTATTCAATGTGTATGTGCTACCCGGGTAGAATGTGTGTGTTTGTTTGTACGCTTGCTCAGATCTTATCTTCAGGAAGATGATGAAGATGGAGAATTCCAGATACTCTCTAACCCTGCCTCGCATCCCACAGGAAACCCAGAATGTAGATCCAGCAACTCAAAAAACCAATTATCTCTCATCAATTACTGTACAGTATCATATCTCTCTTTAACTCAAGTGTAACTTATAACAAAAGCAATGATGAACTATATCCTGAGACCTTAAAAGCTTAGACATCATTGTGTTTTGTTTCCTTTTTTACCCGTATTAATAAATCATGTTACACAACTTATCTCTAATCAATCATGTCTCTCATTCATATTCACCCTTATGTATTTTTAATCATCTCAACATGAACTGAAACACATTATTTATATCAGGAAAAACCCATATGTATACAAATCATGAGCATTAGCCCACATATAGCATATTTTTAACTCTGACTTTAACACTGAACATGGCGCCCAGAAATGTAAAAATTAGCATTACACTAAAAATAAATGCATTTCTAAAACACAACTCAGCATATTAACTCATTTCAGTGTCTCCATAACATTTACAGTCCAATTGGTTTTTGTTGATAAGAAAATTGCTTAATCATAACCACACAGAAAAATTATGTTAAATATCATCAATAAGTGAAAATAATGAGCTGTAGCCATCGGCCAATAAGAAGAAGCTCCACTGAACTGAAAGACTATCAGCTGATTAATAATAAGTGCTCCATGTGAAGATGTAAGTCCATTTGTAGAGAATAAGCTCTGTGTATGAGAGCGATGTAATGTCCATGTTTCCATGCTGCTCTGACCCCCTCCTCCTTTCAGGGTGGAGCCTGCTGGAGTCCGATGGTTGAGACCAGGTCTGAGGAAGTGTAAGTGTGAAAACAAAGCAGCACACATTCAACCATCTTCACACTGTGACATCACTCATTCACAGCTCTGATGTCATCATCAAAGTGTCAATCAATGATCAGATGATAGATCAATAACTGCAGCTGTATTGTGTCTTGTTCTCTCCATCAGATTCCTGTGAACTCACAGTCGACACAAACACAGTGAACAGAAACATCAAACTGTCTCACAACAACAGGAAGATGATTCATGTGGAGGAGGTTCAGTCATATCCTGATCATCCAGACAGATTTGACTACTGGTCTCAGCTGCTGTGTAGAAATGGTCTGACTGGTCGCTGTTACTGGGAGGTCGAGTGGAGAGGATGGGTTTATATATCAGTGAGTTACAGAGGAATCAGCAGGAGAGGAAACAGTATAGACTGTTGGTTTGGAAGGAATGATCAGTCCTGGAGACTGAAGTGCTCTTATGGTTGTTACTCTGTCTATCACAATAAGAGAGAAACACCCATCTCCTCCTCCTCCTCCTCCTCCTCCTCTGGTAGAGTAGCAGTGTATGTGGACTGTCCTGCTGGCACTCTGTCCTTCTACACAGTCTCCTCTGACACACTGATCCACCTCCACACCTTCAACACCACATTCACTGAACCTCTTTATCCTGGGTTCGGGTTCAGGTTCAGGTTCTGGTCTTACAGTTCCTCAGTGTCTCTGTGTCCTCTGTAGGAGGGAGAGAGAAACTTTCTCACTGCTGACCAGATAGTTCAGTCTGCTCAGGATCACACACAGCTGATGTTAGTTAGTACCAACCTGATGTGTTTACTGTAATAGAGGAGGAAGAGGAGGCTGAAGGAAGAGAAGAACAAAGGATGCTGGGATGAAGGGATCATGTGTGAGGGTAATGTGCAGCCTGCAGACGTAGAGATGAAAGAAATGATAGAAAGAATTGATCTTCTTCTATAACTCTGAGAAAAATGAACATTTTTAGGATCAAATGTGGCTGCTTGTTTTTCAAATCTTCTTCTTTTTGAAAGCACAGTTAGAGGGAAAGTGTTTTTATGACTCAAATATTAAAGTGTGAACAAATATTCAACTTTGAGTCTAAAACTGAACTTTGTTGCCTTAAAACTTTTGTTTCTGTGAAGAAAAAATGTGTTCAAATGTCAAACAAGAGTCTTTCAGGATCAAATTCAGCATCTGTGTAAAAATAGTTCCAAGGTGTAAAGAGTGGCTTTGATTTGAACAAACTAAATTCATCATCTTTGGTCATCGTGGAACAAATGTACAAACTTTGATAAGTCAGGTTGAAATCAA